AGCAAAGTGGGGAATTTGACCATTACCTGGGTGGGGTAGGGAATATGAACCGAAAGTGTCTGTCAAGTTTTTAAACTTCTTTGGACGATGGGGGTGTACCCACATGGTTAGGTTCGATAGCTGCGATATCTTTTATAATGAGATGGAGGAGTTTAAAGGTGAACGAGTGACTTGTTCGCCAAGGACTTCAAAAGCTACACATATATGCGTTTTTGAAGGTATTATGCATGAGACGAGATCGAAGAAGTTCAGTTGCCCATCAATACCATGGGAAGTCCGGAATGCCCAGGGAGGGGGTTTTCCCAGGGGACGATGTTGAAGTTTCGAATTGATTGGCGCATATTCAGGCTCTTTATTTAATGAGACCTCATTATCCAAGTGGAAAAAGTCCCGGCAAAGATGTGTAAAAATAGTTCGCCAACTTTTAACACTGAGCTAGCCGAGTTTCTTTTTGGTTGTCATAAACAATATTCCTTTACATTTGACGAATAGCGCGGGTCCACAGTTATCCTTTTCAAAAGTTGACTTAAAGCATTTTAACTGCTCTTCTGAAACATTCGAAACGATACATCGACCTGAGCGGATTGGTGAAAGTTCTAAATTTTGAACAGTGGAAATGATGACCTTAGCTCTGAAATACTCTTAACCCGGGTTTTTTAAAATTGCTTTCGTTCAACCGCTTTATGGGTGTCGGATGTCTTGTAACCGTCTTGTTTTGTGTTTTGGCATAGTTTTTTTAAGATGGCATACAAGCTGGTAGCCTGGAATTTAAGTAACGTAAGCATTTTTGGGATTGTCTCTGAGGGCAAGTACTTTGCAACTTTCTCTGATCTTCATACTTGCTGTTTGGAAAATATATTATTTCGCATTGTGTGTTCTAACACGTCCGCTCAAACAATCCCATAAGTGCTTGCGCGGACACTTTAAAACCAGGCCACCTTTTTTTTTCTCGCAAATTGAGCTATGGCGGTGATCCAAACAAAGCTGGAATTTGCGGCCACCCACGACTTTTATTCGTGTTCACACTGTTAGTTCAAATCACTGCTGTTTTGATTAATAGTCAGTCTGCCTAGGAAGTGCATTGCCTCCTTCGCTTCCCTCTTCGCTTTTTGATTCATCGCTTTCCGCCGATAACATCTCATATTCTTTTCTGCGCTTGTCTTTCTCTTCCAACAAGCTTCCTGCGTACTGCGATATAACAAGTATAGCGAGTACCACAATACCGGCTATTGCAAAGGCCCGCATCGTGCTAATTACGCCATACACTTCAATCAGAATGCCGCTGATCATAGTTCCGCCGCCATTACCGAGACCCCAAAATATGCCTTGGAGAATACCTGGAAGGAAATTAAATATTTCGTGTTAACAGAAATATTTTTTTCTTGTAAATAGCTTGGGGCAGAGGGAATCTAAATCAAACGGTCTCTGCTGTCAGTCGTTTGATTCCCTTTGATTTCGTGGGACGAACAGTCACCAGAACCCTGGGTACCAAAAGGTCTTTCTCGCTCGCGTGCTTGCAATCGAGTACGGCGGAGATATCTCGGGACGTCTCGTATGAAGTCTTTAGCACCCAGGATAGATCATTAGAGACGTAGCTAGTATTTTTCCAGAGATACGCAAAGTTTTCTGAATTCCCGTTTCCCAAATCCTTTTCGTGGGAGTTTGATTAAATTTAGTGCAATCATAACTGCCGTTATCTGTTCCTCGTACGACCTTCTAAATCTCGCTCAACCCTTGAAGCCCACTCAGTCACTCACTCAAATTGTAAACCTTTCCCGAGATTAAAAAGTTGCCTAACACCAGTTACTTGAAACGTCTAATTCTTGCCTTTAATGTTATGCTATAGCTAATCTTTTTACAGGTAATTAAATAATCTTCTTAGCAAAGGGGCGAAAACAAATTGTGGAGTCTCGAGTCCGGGTTCTGGATTTCATATTCTCAGATTCCAGCATTCTCGATTCCTTGTTCTAGACAAGCCCCAGGGATACTCTAAGAGCGGGGAGAAAGCTCTCCGCTGGGGTGGGGGCAGGGCTTCCCAGAGAGCTTGCTCACCGCTACTTACTGGAGGTTCCACCACATGTAGGTTGGGTTAGCTGTTATCAATGAGACCTGCTCGTTTACGAGAATTGGCCTCCATGGAAGGGTTTTTATTGCTTTGTAGCGAACTTACCTTGAGTAGTTTCAATGACACCAAGCTGGGAACCCACGCTGCTCATATAATTAACACAAGTAGACCACACAAGACCATAGGTACCCCCATCCAGTACCTCCAGAGCAAGTGCCATCCACGGATCCTCGAGGATTGAGTAGCAAATGAAGCAAATGATATACGACATGAGACAAAACGCCATTGAGTTTACGTTACCTAGAACTTCTAAGGCTGTAGTGCTGAAAGCAAACATAATTAAAGCGGCAATTTCCCTGGCGGCTCCTGCAGCGCCCATTATGCTACTGGATCCACCCAGGTCATCAATGTACCAGTTCACAAAGTGGACCAGTATACCGTAACAGAAGCCTGTATATAGAGTTGCGAACAGAAAAGAGGTGTGACGCAAGTTTAGAAGCAAGGGTGCGACTTTTCCAATGTCTTCGAAATTCTTCTCCTCGTCGTATTTGAAGCGAAACCACAAGCCATGGACAAAAGCCGCGGCCACAAAAGCAATGAAAATGTAGAATGCAATGACATAGTTAGTTTGTTTTACTTCGCAAAGTTTAAATGTAGAGGACATAACTATAAGCCCAACCATTGCTGATGCCAGTGCCCAGCCGAGGGAACCCCACATCCGAATTCGACCATAGTATGCTCTGTCGTCACCAAGTCGTTTGAGGAGTGACGCATCTGAGAGTGCATAGGTGGGGGACTCGAAAAATTCCCCTATTATGACGATGAGTAGAAACAAGATGAACATGAACTCAGTTTCCGACACATCAATTAGCGTTATGAATTGAATTGGCGCTTGTAACTCCTTGCTGTAAACTTCGGCTTTACGGAATAGCTTTAGATTTAGCGTTTTACTCATCTTTTCAAAATTACCAGGCGCAGTGGTTTCGTCTTCAACTAGGTCTATGAGAGGGGCGAGTCCCCTGCTTTCCGACTCGTCGTCCATAAAAACTTTGCGCTTTTTCGTTTCTTGTACGGCTTTGCTGTCATTTGCTTTTGCTTTTTCTTTGTTCTCGGTAATTTTTTGTTGTTTAACAGGCCCACTTTTCTTTAAAGTATTCCCTGGTTGAGAACCAGGCTTCAGGTTGTCTGTTCCTTTGGATTGATCTACTGTAACTATTTTATTATGTTTGATCACGATCGGATGGTCCAGGGGCACAACCAACCAATGCTCTCGATTTTCTTCCTCAGCGTTCCAGAGATCGTATGCATACACGTAGGTTAAGTTCGCTGTATTGTTCTTGTAGACTTCCACACAGTGTTGGTAATGCGGACGAACAGTAAGCAGAACGCCAGCTTTGACAATCCAAGCCATAACGCTCCCCAAAAATATTATCCTCCCTGCATGGTAACGATCAGCTATAATTCCCCAAAATGGTGCTCCAATGCATTGGATTAATGGCCGAATACCCACGATTATTCCGGCATAGTTTGCTCCTAAAAATAGCTGCTTAAAATACAAAGGTAAATAGGGGATGAATCCGCCATAGGCACCATAAATAAAGAAACAGAACCCCTTAAAAAGCAAATAGTCAGCCTCGTAGAAACATTTGAAGAAATCCGCAGATTGTTGAGGTCTCTTTACTTTTCTTCTCTTCTCGGTTTTCTCGGGCTCTTCTTTGGCCGGCACCGCTTCTTCCATAGCTTCCTGTTTGTCCATGTTCTTTGCCGAAATCCTTCAATGCAAAATGCGCTTAAATTAATTATTTGGTGATAACTTATAGGAAACATAATAAGATAATAATGACCAATAATGTTTTGAAAAACACACGCTCTTTTCGCATAGCTGCAACCGGCCAATATGACCTCGAAATACCCGACTGCTTTGAAAGATCAATCATAAGACGAGAGCTTGATATTTTACTTGATATTAAACAAGTTTATCCCTTCAGGAATAATTATGCTGAATGGTTTTTCGCCATGCTCTGTTACCCAGGTGACAAGCAGTCTGAGGGCTTAAAAGACAGTGTAAATAGAAAAGAGCTTGAAAAGAATATTTGCATTTGATCATGGAAAAACATATACATTCTTAGTCTTTAACGACTGACAACTCCGCTACTCTTCTACACAAAAGTAGGTTATTCTAAAACTTTTCAAGACTGCTCGGAGGCGAAGTTTTCAAAGCATATCTTTGTCTTGTTTCGATAGCTAAAATTCGATTTGTTCCGTGCTAAATGCCGAAAATGCGTCGTTTTTTGTTCATTCTTGACGAAAAGAATTGTTTTAACTTTAATATTGTTCGATCAAGCCTTTTATTTTCTTTTTTTTGAGAGCACTTTACCAGGGTATTACCAGTTCTAAAATCTTGATTTAAAAAATTGTATGACCAGCTGGATGTAAGCGCGCGCGTAATGTTTGGAATCCGTCGCCAAACAGTCAACACAGCTTGCAGAAACCACGATATTTAGGTCTGGGATTTATTTGTACAAGACTAATGTTTTAAATGAATACTCTATATTATATACCATTTTTGCATTTTTGACAGGAAACTAAAGGTACCCCTTTCGTATACCTTTCATTCTAAAAAGGTGTCCCTTTAGCATATCCAATTGGTAGGAATAAATCGTTAAAACAAAAGTTGTCGTCTCATTTTTGACGTTTTTGTGTAACGTTTGATATGGCTTACGATCAAGTCGCCCGACAGTTATCTTGCCCAAAGGTATGTCGCCAAACTTTTATCATGCTCATCAACATCCAGTCTGCTACACAGCCGTTTTCAGTGTTGTCACGCAATGCTCCTCCCCACAAGTGGGGAGGAGCGTTGCGTGACGACACTAAAAACGGCTGTGTAGCAGACTAATCAAACATCCTGACTTCTTAAACGCGCTTGTTTCGTCTCATTAGATCTTACTTCTAAGGCTGTAGTGCTGAAAGCAAACATAATTAAAGCGGCAATTTCCCTGGCGGCTCCTGCAGCGCCCATTATGCTACTGGATCCACCCAGGTCATCAATGTACCAGTTCACAAAGTGGACCAGTATACCGTAACAGAAGCCTGTATATAGAGTTGCGAACAGAAAAGAGGTGTGACGCAAGTTTAGAAGCAAGGGTGCGACTTTTCCAATGTCTTCGAAATTCTTCTCCTCGTCGTATTTGAAGCGAAACCACAAGCCATGGACAAAAGCCGCGGCCACAAAAGCAATGAAAATGTAGAATGCAATGACATAGTTAGTTTGTTTTACTTCGCAAAGTTTAAATGTAGAGGACATAACTATAAGCCCAACCATTGCTGATGCCAGTGCCCAGCCGAGGGAACCCCACATCCGAATTCGACCATAGTATGCTCTGTCGTCACCAAGTCGTTTGAGGAGTGACGCATCTGAGAGTGCATAGGTGGGGGACTCGAAAAATTCCCCTATTATGACGATGAGTAGAAACAAGATGAACATGAACTCAGTTTCCGACACATCAATTAGCGTTATGAATTGAATTGGCGCTTGTAACTCCTTGCTGTAAACTTCGGCTTTACGGAATAGCTTTAGATTTAGCGTTTTACTCATCTTTTCAAAATTACCAGGCGCAGTGGTTTCGTCTTCAACTAGGTCTATGAGAGGGGCGAGTCCCCTGCTTTCCGACTCGTCGTCCATAAAAACTTTGCGCTTTTTCGTTTCTTGTACGGCTTTGCTGTCATTTGCTTTTGCTTTTTCTTTGTTCTCGGTAATTTTTTGTTGTTTAACAGGCCCACTTTTCTTTAAAGTATTCCCTGGTTGAGAACCAGGCTTCAGGTTGTCTGTTCCTTTGGATTGATCTACTGTAACTATTTTATTATGTTTGATCACGATCGGATGGTCCAGGGGCACAACCAACCAATGCTCTCGATTTTCTTCCTCAGCGTTCCAGAGATCGTATGCATACACGTAGGTTAAGTTCGCTGTATTGTTCTTGTAGACTTCCACACAGTGTTGGTAATGCGGACGAACAGTAAGCAGAACGCCAGCTTTGACAATCCAAGCCATAACGCTCCCCAAAAATATTATCCTCCCTGCATGGTAACGATCAGCTATAATTCCCCAAAATGGTGCTCCAATGCATTGGATTAATGGCCGAATACCCACGATTATTCCGGCATAGTTTGCTCCTAAAAATAGCTGCTTAAAATACAAAGGTAAATAGGGGATGAATCCGCCATAGGCACCATAAATAAAGAAACAGAACCCCTTAAAAAGCAAATAGTCAGCCTCGTAGAAACATTTGAAGAAATCCGCAGATTGTTGAGGTCTCTTTACTTTTCTTCTCTTCTCGGTTTTCTCGGGCTCTTCTTTGGCCGGCACCGCTTCTTCCATAGCTTCCTGTTTGTCCATGTTCTTTGCCGAAATCCTTCAATGCAAAATGCGCTTAAATTAATTATTTGGTGATAACTTACAGGAAACATAATAAGATAATAATGACCAATAATGTTTTGAAAAACACACGCTCTTTTCGCATAGCTGCAACCGGCCAATATGACCTCGAAATACCCGACTGCTTTGAAAGATCAATCATAAGACGAGAGCTTGATATTTTACTTGATATTAAACAAGTTTATCCCTTCAGGAATAATTATGCTGAATGGTTTTTCGCCATGCTCTGTTACCCAGGTGACAAGCAGTCTGAGGGCTTAAAAGACAGTGTAAATAGAAAAGAGCTTGAAAAGAATATTTGCATTTGATCATGGAAAAACATATACATTCTTAGTCTTTAACGACTGACAACTCCGCTACTCTTCTACACAAAAGTAGGTTATTCTAAAACTTTTCAAGACTGCTCGGAGGCGAAGTTTTCAAAGCATATCTTTGTCTTGTTTCGATAGCTAAAATTCGATTTGTTCCGTGCTAAATGCCGAAAATGCGTCGTTTTTTGTTCATTCTTGACGAAAAGAATTGTTTTAACTTTAATATTGTTCGATCAAGCCTTTTATTTTCTTTTTTTTGAGAGCACTTTACCAGGGTATTACCAGTTCTAAAATCTTGATTTAAAAAATTGTATGACCAGCTGGATGTAAGCGCGCGCGTAATGTTTGGAATCCGTCGCCAAACAGTCAACACAGCTTGCAGAAACCACGATATTTAGGTCTGGGATTTATTTGTACAAGACTAATGTTTTAAATGAATACTCTATATTATATACCATTTTTGCATTTTTGACAGGAAACTAAAGGTACCCCTTTCGTATACCTTTCATTCTAAAAAGGTGTCCCTTTAGCATATCCAATTGGTAGGAATAAATCGTTAAAACAAAAGTTGTCGTCTCATTTTTGACGTTTTTGTGTAACGTTTGATATGGCTTACGATCAAGTCGCCCGACAGTTATCTTGCCCAAAGGTATGTCGCCAAACTTTTATCATGCTCATCAACATCCAGT